CTACTGTTTAACTGCATGTGTGCTCCATATCCAGTACTAAGTGACTCTAAATAAAATGGACAAATATGCCCACATATACTCGCCACTCCTCGCAGAGGCAAGTCTGGGGACTTAAACGTTGCTATATGCCTAGAACCCAAAACAGGGCCTGGAATAGAGTGGATATCCACTACACGTGTGTTGAATAAAGGATGAAACAGTAAATGAGTATCTTGGAAAGGGAAATAAAATAATGAGCCAGTACCTTCTGTAAAAGAGTAGGAAAGGAAGGTAGTGATCCTTCACTCAGGGTAGCGGACGGTGGATAGAGAGTTTAATTCCTTACAAGAGGATTGCAGATGAAAAGGGAGAGAAAGTAGCAGCACAACAAACCCTGATATTTGGGATTTTTTTTTTTTAAACTGAGTTTTTTATGTGGCCGAAGACTTTACTTATCGCTTTCACTGGTTTTGATTATTTAAGTAAAGTTGATAAAGATACTGTTAGCCTTTTTTTTGTCAAGATCAATTTTACACTAAACAAACAGCATACGTGTTTACACATACTTCTTCACACAAAATTTTAACCTTTTAGCTATTATAACTCAAAAATAAGACCAGTTTCTTCATACTGAGCCTTAACAATATCCCTAACTGATGAGAAATAAAGTCAATAGGATTCTCAACTCAAAAATTCTGAAGACACTGCACTTCTTAGCAATGCCACCTGTGTTGAGAAAAATGAAACAATGAATCTGACAAAGAAAATATGTCTTAACCAACTGCTAACCAGAAGGTTGGAATGGACAGTTTGCCAGTCCAGACACACTGGATAATTCACCTGAGGAGCAACTAGCCACGCTCATGCTACCTGGGGAAGGAAAGTCAGTCGGTGGTAATGGAGTGGAACTCTTCATAGAGCAGTACCAAGGAGGTTCTTGATGCAAAGTATCCAAATCCACGCTTTTTTTTTTTTAATTGTATTTATTTGTGTGTGTGCACGTGCGCGTGAGAGAGACAGAGACAGAGAGACAGAAAGAAAGAGATAGAACACAAGCAGGGGGAGCGGCAGGCAGAGGGAGAAGCAGGCTCCCCGCTTTAGCAAGGAGCCCATTGTGAGACTTGATCCCAGGACCCTGGGATCATGACCTGAGCCAAGGGCATACGCTTGACTGACTGAGCCACCCAGGCGCCCCTCCATGCTTAGTTTAAAACACACATGTTGCCAGTATGACTTAATTGGGGCAAAATCAAAACACCAATATTTTGAAACCAGTATGTGATGGCATTCCCATCTCTCCTATAACCGGCCCAACAACTACACAAGAGTTAGGAGCATGGATGCTGGCATCAGACAAACCTAGGTTGAAATTCTGCCTCTCTATGTATTATAGTTGTGATTAAAGTGAAGTTACATAACCTCTCTAAGCTTGTTTCTTAGTCTATAAAAAGGTAGTCATTATGAAAGAGAAACTGGTTACATTCTCCATGTGGCTAGATAACGTGAGAAATCCTGTATCACTTCCAAGACCTCCAAGCTTACAGCCAGAAATAAGCTACCAAAATAGAGATCATGATTTACCTTAACCCTATTGGGATTCTTGGTTCCAAAGTCCACCTGAATCTTCATAGGCTCAGATGATCACCCTCCTCCAGAACATCTTCAGAACTAAATTCTTCATGCCCCCTTTCTAAGCTTTACTGGGCACTATCCATAGGACAAGTCTCTCTGATGGCTTTACTTGCCCTTGACCCTTTACTCACTCCAATACGGTGTCTTGTCCCTTGTTCAATGACCAGCTCCTTCCATCTTCACATCTTTGACTGTGCTCTCTGGGTTTTTTAATCCATATTGGTCACTCCTCTGTGTAGTCTTATCCCAGTTTTCAAATACTTTTCCTTAACTAAAACCTGGCCATTTCCTTAAAAAAACACTGCTTCCCCCCTGGCTCTATTAAGTGGAGATCATCTTCTTCCGCTTACACAACCCATGTATCCCGCTGCCTTCCTTGCTCTCCAATACCACTTGAATCCTCTAACTTATTTCTCCTTTTGTAAAAAGCTCCTGCTCCTTTGAGTCTTACCCCCTATAGGTCTTGACGCACTTGTCAAGAACTGTGAAGAGTATGAGATCTTACGATGCCTGCAAACCTACAAGTTACATAGATGCTGGCAGGAGACAGGAGACTCATGGGTCAGTGAAAAAGGGCTTTATTATTCACAGCAATAGTATGGAGTATCAGCATTTGCTGGCTCTGGTTCTCTGACCCCAAATTCATACGCACACAGGGTGACAGAAAGAGGGCCATGTGACAAAGTGCGCTGTGCTACAGGAAAGGAGCCTGGTCTTTCATACCACATCATAAACATGACTGACCTTTGTCAGAAGAGAGCCGCTACTTCCACCTTCCAAAATGGTTTGCTATATAAACATCCTTGAAAAGGTAGTCTGGAAGGAAGGCACTTAGTGTCCCTGCCTTCACAAAGTGCAGAAATAGGAGAGACCCACAGAGAATCTCTTTCTGACAGCATTCACTCTCATCATATTATCAGTCTCTGGGTTTGAGACCCGTATTTCCTTTCTCCTCACCCTCACTCTTTCCTGGGCAGTCATACTTCTTCAAATGACATTACCAATCATCTACTGACAAATCTATGCTGTGTACCTCTAGCACAGACTTCTGAGTTCTACACCTATGCACTGAATTGACTTCCTAACCCTTCCAATTGGATGCCTTATTGCTGTACTGAACTCAACATGTCCAAAATGAAATCACCTCTTGCCTTTCCCACCTTCCAGACGTTTCCCACCTAAATACATGAGAACTCCTGCACTGGAATATATTGCTTTTCTCCCAAGATCCACTTAGCACCATTCTCTATGCTCTGAAAAGCTCACTCTGTGGACAGAATCACAGAGCTCTCTTGCCTTTTGACATCTAGTCAGTTTAGCAAATGGGCTCACAAGCAGGAGAATGGAGGACAGGATGGTCTGGTCCTCCAGAGAGTACAAGTGAGTATGTTTCCCAACGCATTTTTTGAGTTCAACATTAATCTGGTAACACTACCATAAAAAGATACTACAAGAGAAGCAAACTACAAATCAATATCCATGATGACAAGAGATATAAACACTCCTTTAATATTAGCAAATTTAATGCATCAACACATAAAAAAATACATCATGATTAAGCATGTTTATCCTAGGATTGCAAGTTTGATTAAATATTTGAAAAGTCAGTATAATTCATGATAACTAAAAAAGAAAGCATTACATCATCTCAATAGATGCAAAAATAGCATTTGAAGAATTGAGTAATGATAACAGAACTCAGAAAACCAGAATAAAAGGGGACCTCTTCAACCTTCTCAAGTAGGTCTACAAACACTTGAGAAAAAAAAACCTAGAGCTATGATCATATTCACTGGTGCAAGACTACTTTACCTTAAGACTGGGAACAAGGTAAGGAACTCTATTTTTTTTTTTTTAATATTTTATTTATTTATTTGAGAGAGAGAATGAGATAGAGAGCATGAGAGGGGGGAGGGTCAGAGAGAGAAGCAGACTCCCTGCTCAGCAGGGAGCCTGGCGCGGGACTCGATCCTGGGACTCCAGGACCATGACCTGAGCCGAAGGCAGTCGCTTAACCAACTGAGCCACCCAGGCTCCCTACACATCTATTTCTGTATCTATTTATCTGCATGCATATTAAAAGCTATGAGTTCTGGTGCACCTGGGTAGCTCAGTCAGTTGAGCATCTGACTTGATTTCAGCTCAGGTCATGTTCTCAGATTCCTGGGATGGAGTCCCATGTTGGGTTCCATGCTTAGCAGGGAGTCTACTTGAGGATTCTCTCCCTCTGCCCCGTGCATTCCCCCATCGCCCCCCACCTTGCTCAAGTACTCTCTCTCTCAAAATAAATAACTCTTGGGAAAAAAAAGCAAAGTTATGAGTTCATGCAGGTATCTCCTATCCAAACACAACACAAGGTTCCTTCTAGCTTTCTCTCATTCTTATGAGTAACTTCTTTCTCTGACAGTAAGAAACCTGGCTCTCATTATCCACAATATACTTCATTATTCTCTGAGTCCTCTTACATACATAAATTATTTTCATAATTGTGAACCCACAAAAGTTTATTAGCTATTGTACAGTAATTGTGTACAGTTATTTTTGTCTTTAGTCTTATGTAGCATATAGTCAAATTGTCTTCTAAAACTACTTGTGCTCGTTTTTTATTCCTCAAACCACTCAGCATGGTTACATTCATCATTTGTAATACAGTTAAATTTATTTATTACTGTCTATATTGAATTTTGTGTTATACCTATGTGATGGTTAATTTTCTGTGTTGCCTTGACTAGAGATGCCAAGATAGCCAGTAAAATATTATTTCTGGGTGTGTCTGTGAGGGTGTACCTGAAAAAGATTAGTATTCTAATTGGTAAACTGAATAAAGCAGGTGGCCCTCCCCAAGGTTGGGGGGCATCATTCAGTCTCTGAAGGGCCTGAGTAGAGTGGAAAGGCAGAGGAAGGGCCAATTCACTGTCTCTACTTGAGCTGAAATAGGTGCCTTCTAGTGCCCTCAGATACTGGTACTCCCAATTGTCAGGCTTTTGGACTCAGATCAGGACTTACACCACAAGTCCTCCAATTCTTAGGTGTTTATACTGGGACTGAATTACAATACCAACTTCCCTGGTTCTCCAGCTTGCAGACTGAAAGTAGTGGGACTTCCCTCTCTCCATAACTGTCTGAGCCAATTCCTGTAAATTAATCTCTTCTAAATATCCATATATATCCTATGGGTTCTATCTCTCTGGAAAACTCTGACTAATGCAACCCACATTCAGGTTTATTTTAACTGTTTAGTTTTTGATACCTGAAGTGTTCAAATGTTGTAAGAGTCAATACTGTATCAAAGATATTATCAGAGAAGTGGTATTTCTCCTTTATGCCTCCTACCCACTTTGCCCATTTTTTTCACCCATCTCTAACTACCCCTTTTAGGTAAACAATTTCTAACAGGAATGTGTGTAATCATAGATACTTGGAGACTCACCATTAAAATTAACGTTGCGGATATACTTCAACAACTTCTTGCCCCCAGCTTGCTCCATCTCTGGACAGACGCCTCGGTAGTCAGCACAGAGATCTTTGTTCATATGATGGAGGGCATGAGCCATCGCATAGACTGCATCAATAACAAACTGAACTTTACCTTCCTGTTCATAGTTGGAATCTTTTCCAATTCTCTCCTGTCCTGCACATGAAAACAATAAACACGCACACACAAAGATTGGTGTTGAGTAAAACGTGTATATTTACATTTACTTTCAACTATGCTTAAAGCAAACAATGTTTTGGGGAATACAATCGTGCAAACTACATATCCACATTTGGCTACCATATTAAGTTGTTTTGATAGTGTTTGGTATTTTGACTTGGTAGCACTAACCTTTCTCATATATTAGACAAACTATAGAAGCACACTCCAAAAGATCACAATGACAGCTTTTGTAATAAGCCAACATACTGCTCAAATATAGCAGTCCCATAGAATAAAGAGATTGCTGGGATTAGAGACTGGATTTCAATATTCAAATCTTCAAAGCTCACTCACTCTAGAGAGGTGTTGGATCAAAAGGAAAATGATAGAAAACAAACTGAATTCGACACCTGAATTTCAATATACTTCTATATATTTACTCCATCTCTTGTCTGGTTCAAAGGTTGGTATTACTGGCAACTCAGGTGCTCAGGCTAGAAACTGTGTCATTTTTTATTCCTTCCTTTCTTACTGCCCATCCTCACGTTTATCTAATGAGGAGCTAAGTTCTATCAATTCTAGCTCTGTAACACTGAGTTGTAGCCACACTATCAATGCCCCATTATGCCCTTCTCATCTTTCATCGGGATGCAATGCTAGATGCCTTCCTTCATCTATTCATTCCTCCATATTCACCTTTCCAAATAACAGAGCTTATCACCTCACACTCATGCTCAGAATTCTTCCATGGTTCTTTATTGCCCACAAAATAAAATTCAAATTCTTTCCCCTGACAAATGAGGATGCTCATCACTTTGCCCCAATTTGCCTAATAATAATAATAACTGATATTAAATGCCCTTCACTGTGTTAGAAACTTTGTATACTTTATTTTTATTTCATTCTTACTTTGTGAGTTAAATATTATTTATCCTCACTATACAGATAGGAAAGGTCAGCCTTAATAGAGATTAATTTACTTCCCAAGACCACTTACAAGTAGAGTGATTATCCCAAAGAACAAAGAATCCAATCAAGAAATGGGTAGAAGACATGAACAGACATTTTTCCAAAGAAGACATCCAAATGGCCAACAGACACATGAAAAAGTGCTCAACATCGCTCGGCATCAGGGAAATCC